CACTTTTGAAGGAGAAAGTAGTTAAGGACATTGACGTCAATGGTAATTGGGACAAAATATAACATGGTTTTACAAAAGGTAGATAGTGCCAAACCAACGTGATCTCCTTCTTTGAGAAGGTAACACATTTTTTAGGCAAAGGAAACTCAGTGGATCTAATTTACCTCGATTTCAGTAAGGCATTTGATACGGTTCCACATGGTGAATTATTAGCTAAATTGGAAAAGATGGGGATCAATATGAAAATTGAAAGGTGGATAAGGAACTGGTTAAAGGGGAGACTACAATGGGTCATACTGAAAGGTGAACTGTCAGGCTGGAAGGAGGTTGCTAGTGGAGTTCCTCAGGGATTGGTTTTGGGACCAATCTTATTTAATTTTTTTTATTACTGACCTTGGAACAAAAAGTGGGAATGTGGTAATAAAGTTTGTGGATGACACAAAGCTGGGAGGTATTGCTAACACAGAGAAGGACCGGGATATCATACAGGAAGATCAGGATGACTTTGTAAACTGGAGTAATAGTAATAGGATGAAATTTAATAGTGAAAAGTGCAAGGTCATGCATTTAGGGATTAATAACAAGAAGTTTTGGTTATAAACTGGGGACACATCAGTTGGAAGTAACAGAGGAGGAGAAGGACCTCAGAGGTTAATCACATTGGTTAATCACAGGATGACTATGAGCCGCCAATGTGATATGGCTGTGAAAAAAGCTAATGTGATCTTGGGATGCATCAGGTGAGGTATTTCCAGTAAAGATAAGGAGGTGTTAGTACTGTTATACAAGGCACTGGTGAGACCTCATCTGGAATACTGTGTGCAGTTCTGGTCTCCCGTGTTTAAGAAGGATGAATTCAAACTGGAACAGGTTCAGAGAAGGGCTACTAGGATGATCTGAGGAATGGAAAACCTGTCTTATGAAAGGAGACTCAAAGAGCTTGGCTTGTTTAGCCTAACCAAAAGAAGGCTGAGGGGAGATATGATTGCTCTTTATAAATATATCAGAGGGATAAATATCAGGGAGGGAGAGGAATTATTTAAGTTTAGTACCAATGTGGACACAAGAACAAATGGATATAAACTGGCCATTAGGAAGTTTAGACTTGAAATTAGATGAAGGTTTCTAACCATTAGAGGAGTGAAGTTCTGGAACAGCCTTCCCAGGGGAGCAGTGGGGGCAAAGACATATCTGGCTTCAAGACTAAGCTTGATAAGTTTATGGAGGGGATGGTATTATAGGATAGCCTAATTTTGGCAATTAGTTGATCTTTGATTATTAGCAGGTAAATATGCCCAATGGTCTGTGATGGGATGTTAGATGGGGTGGGATCTGAGTTACTACAGAGAATTCTTTCCTGGGTGCTGGCTGGTGAGTCTTGCCCACATGCTCAGGGTTTAACTGATCGCCATATTTGGGGTCAGGAAGGAATTTTCCTCCAGGGCAGATTGGCAGAGGCCCTGGAGGTTTTTTGCCTTCCTCTGCAGCATGGAGCCCGGGTCACTTGCTGGAGGATTCTCTGCACTTTTAGGTCTTAAATCATGATTTGAGGACTTCAATAACTCAGACATAGGTTAGGGGGTTGTTACAGGAGTGAATAGGTGAGATTCTGTGGCCTGCGTTGTGCAGGAGGTCAGACCAGATGATCATAATGGTCCCTTCTGACCTTAAAATCTATGAGTCTATGAGTCTAAGGCTGCAAATTTGTTTCCTTTTCTATTTGCTAAGCTGCCCCTATTGCCTTGTGTTTTTCAGAGGATGCTTATAAAACTCAAGTACGAATAGATGATGAACCGGCTTACTTGGACATTCTAGACACTGCTGGACAGGTGAGTAGTGTCTTAATGTATACTTTTGTAACAGAGGTAAAAGCAAAGACCTTAACCTCCAATATATGGGTCACAAGGATGGAGACAAGCTTCACTATTCAGGCATGAAAGGAGCAGTGTCGGCACAACATGTGGAAATTAGTACAAAAGAGATCAAGGGGAGCATCAAAAATATAATGTGACTCAGTTACTTGACCATTAGAGATAGGCAACATTAGAGCAAATGATTAGTACAATACAGGGTTTTCACATATACACATGGAGAATGTGTTGTAATAAAGACATGCATAAATGTTACTGCACATTTGATCTTAATGTTTCTGATGTCTCTAGTCAATAATACCAATATTTTGTAGTTTACTGATACTATTCGATATATTTATATTTCCCCCCTCTATCTTAAATTCCATTGCCAATGGTTTGGTGATAAATGTCTGTAGACATCAATCAAGGAAGGTTTTTTTTAATTATTATTATTATATTATACAGTAAGGTTAAAGAAAAAATAGAATAAAATCAAGCCCAGCACTATTTGAAACAGTTATATAGTGGATTCACCTCTGTCAGTCTGTAGGGCGTGCATAGTTAGATGGATGTTGTAAGTCTTGATCTACTATTCCACTAGTAGTTCTGGAAAATCTGGAAAATCTATGAGGACCATATTGTTATATATCACACTGGAAAGCACCAGGGCACTCCAGAGAAAGTTTATTCCCCGTTTCAGCCCACTCCAGATTCTTGGAGGTCCCCTCAGCCACTTCAGTCATTTGGTTCTCTCCCCCCAAAATCTCACGTTTCTAGTAAGCAAAACTCTGTCATGGTTTTAGCTAGGAGAAGGCAGTAGGTAAATCTGAAAGTGACAATTTGTTTTATGATTTCCTATGTATAAAAATATTGATTTTGATATACTTGCTGCAAAGATATAAGATATAAGGCAAACATAACAATTAAAAGAGGGATTTTTCTAAAGTACTCAGTGTCCGCTTAACACTAGTCCCAGTGAAGTGGCTGGACTAACACTGGGTACTTCTGAAGTTCCCACCCTAAATGTCAAGCTTCACCAGCCACTGTGATTTCCAAGAGATGAGGTACAAAATCCTCAAAAGATGGCCCAGCAACCCACATTTCTGCACTTATCTCACAACTTGCTGATTTGTAGTGATTCAGGGAGCGTGGTCTGGTAACTGGAGCATCGTACTAGGAATCAGGACACAAATGTTCTTCTGTCTTCGCTGCCATTGACTTGCACTGTAGTGTATGGAGAAGCCACAGCTCAGTTTCCCTGTCCATTAAAAAAAAAGAGTATAAAACATACACAGACTTGTGGAGCAGTTTAAAAGTGTTTAGAGCTATTACTGAGTCAGAGGGCCAGATTCTCAGCTCGTATGAATCAGCACTGCTCCATTGACTTCATTGACTATACTGACTTATACCAGCTGAGGATTTGACCCAAACTTTTAGCTTTGTTTGTTTTAATGCATTATATGTGGTTGAGTGAGTATGTATTTTAAGAGAGCATAACTCAATGTCCACCATGTCTACTGAGCTACAGGGATTGAAGCAGGTTGTTACGTCAGAATTATTATTTTAAAAGAGGTTAAAAGGAGGACATTTCTCTATTTTTATATTCTCTATAATAATTTATTATAGTTGTAGGGGGCTTCCCTTGGGGCCAGCAGGTCTAGTGAGCAAGTCATGGCTCAGCGGTCTCTCAGAGTCTCAGAGTTGGCCAGGCAATCTGAAGACCTAGCAGCCGAGTTACAGTTCTCCTTGGGTTCTCCTGATTGGGCAGAGGGGTAGGGGGGAAGGGTACAGGGACCCAGGTCCTCCCTTTCCACCAGGACCCAAGTTTTGAGGAGAGTCTTAGTCTCCTCTAGCAGGTCCAACAGACCAGTCTCCCTTGGACCCCTTCCTACCTCCCCTGTTCTCTCTTCAGTTTGGAGTGTGGTACCAGCACTCAGCGTCCCTCTCAAATTGTTGCTCAAACAGCCCCAATAATTCAGACAGTTAGTTGGGGTTTCCCTGCTCACTTTTCAGTGTTCAGTTGCTCTCCCTGGTCAGGGAAAAGCAAGGGAGTAAAGGGGATCAGGACCTTGGACTCCCAGGCCGGTCTTAACCATAGTCTGGACCTTTCCCCTGTTAGGGTAACCAGATAGCAAGTGTGAAAAGTCAGGATTGGGGTGGTGGGGTAATAGACACCTATATAAGAAAATAAAAACAAATATTGGGACTGTCCCTATAAAATCAGGACATCTGGTCATCCTATCCCCTGTAGACCCCTCGGTGCCAGAAGCTGCAACCTGGCTGCAGACAATCTCTCCTTCATACTCATCCCTGCTTGACTGTCCCTTTTAAAGCAGGTCCTCCATTTGGCGCATGGTCTGCAGCTGCTGAGGGGCAGGGTCTTTTTGGCCCAATACTGCTCCACAAGTCCCTTAGCTTTAGGCCTGGTCTACACTAGAAAATTAGGTTGGTTTAATTGTATTGGTCAGGGGTATGAAAAATCCACTGCCCCTGAGCGGCGTTGTTAAGCCAGCCTAAATCCTTGTATAGACAGAACTAGGTCAATGGAAGAATTCTTCCACTGACTTAGCTACTACCTCTTGGGGAGGTGGATTACATATGCCAATGGGAGAACCCTTCCCATCTGCATAGGTAAGGTCTATGCTGAAGTGGCACAGCTGTGCCATTGTAGCGTTTCAAGTGTAGACAAGCCCTTAATATGGGGTATGTAAGCCCCATCAAAATTATATAATAATCATCTCACAGTCTTGTACAACTGAGGCCTAAAAGATAGTTTCAGCCATTAAGGAAAGTCACCTCAGACCATTTATAGTTTAGTTTAGGATAACCACTTTGATTGGATGGAAGGAAGAGAAAACCATATGAAAAATAAGAAACACCACTTTATTATAAGGGGCCTTTTGGGAAAACCCCATTTCCCTTAGCATATCATGTATGTTTCTCTCCAATGTACATTTCTACTGCCCTCTGGTATACAATGGAATTATCATAAGCTTCAATGTAATATTTAAAATGGTAGTTATCAGTTGTAATACATTTCAATAATTTTAAAATAAAGGACGGGTGGTCACCTGCCTTAGCTACTTTTTCTATTGTACCAGTTGAAAACGTTTTATCATTTAAACTTTGAACACCATATGACTCCATGAGCCTTTTGAAGTTACGTAACATGCCCGCCATGAGTTCCAGATTTAACAGTTTGATAAAAGGGCAAGCAACTCCATATGCTATGTAGAATTAAATCAAATGTATAGAGAATATTTCCATTAAAACTGCTCCTTTGCTAGAACATACCCCTCACAAAGTGTAAAATTGGAGTAACTTCACTGAAGAGTTGTTTCCAGACATGAATTAGTGTAAAAGAGAGCAGAATTTGTCCCAATAAAATCTGGTGAATTCTTTTTATAGAAGATAATGTCATGGCATAGGTAGAAATAGCAAATGTGAGCTTCCTAAAATCCCATCTAAAATATCTTTAATCCTTTGCCAGTTGTGTATATACATAAATTGTAACTTTGCACTTCTGACTGAATGCTGTGATTCGTTCCCATTTAATATCTTTATGCTAGAATTGGACCCAGACTGAAAAGTTTATATCTGGTATATATCTGAATGTGTATCAAAATCTGGGATGTTCAGATAAGGGACCGTGGGGAGGGGAGATTGGGGCCATTGTAAACATAGATGCCATTTGAGAAATAGATTTCTGGTTCTGAACTTCTACAAGCAGTTTAAAAGAAAAACAGGTGACCAAGCCATCAAGTTAAGGTGATTTTGAATCCAATCAATTGCTGTTTTTCTTCTCCTTAAATGGAGACCATCGAACCTGAGCAAGCTCACATCACAAAAAAGAGTCTATATGTTCTGTGAATCCCAAATTCCTGACTTTCTGAACTACTGGTCCTTCTCTGCTGTCACTTTTCCCTGCTGCTGGCAGGAGATATACTGGATCAATGCTTCTTTTGTCATCTCCTACCACAGATGTGTCCATGCTGTCTTCTCTGCCCTTACTTGGTATGACATGTTGAATGTTGTGTTGTACTACGGTATGTGAATATCTCCTTCTTCTGCTAATCAGTGCATTGAAGTTACCCAGCTCCTGTTCTGTTTGCATTAGAGCTCGTTGGAAAGCACAGTGTCCATCCCATGAGAAACTGTGCTAGTTCTACCTTTCTTTTCACCCTAAACAGGGACAAAAAGTCGAAATATGGGAAAATTTCCCTGAACGAAAATTTCGGAAATATTTTAATTTGGAAATGAGAAAACAAAAAAAAACACTACTTTTTTGATTGAATTGAAATGACTATTCAACCTAAACGGTGTCATTTTGAATTGACATTTCAGCTTAAAACAATATAGGAATGACATTGGAAGTCAAAATATCAGTTTGAAACAAAATGTTAAAAATATCAACATTTTAAAATGAAACCTTTTGCTTCGTTTCAAAATGTTGATGCTGAAAAAAATATTTTCCTGTGGAAAACTTTGATTTCGATGGAACCACGTTTTCCGGAGAAAAATCTTTTCATTGGATGCTTTCCTAACATCTCTAGTTTGCAGGCTGTGGTTGCTTCAAAGCCTGATTCTGGTGTCTTTGGAGTTAATAGCAAAACTCCATTTGACTAAGTGGAGCAGGATGGAGCCCTTATTGGGAAGGAGGCTTGAGTTGAGTTTTCAGCCTCTTTCCTTTATTAACTATGTCCCTTGAAACTCATTCCCATGCTGCTCTCTGTCTGTTGGTTGTTCTCACAGTGTTCCCTGATGCATCAGGCCTGAGTCTTCTTTCACATAAATTTGTCTTACCCCAGTGTGACTGCATTGCTCTCAAAGGACTGGTTCTGGGATTATACTGGGGTGTAAGCAAGAGGAGACTCAGGTTTTTAGTCATAGAATATTAGGGGTGGAAGGGACCTCATGAGGTCATCTAGTCCAACCCCCTGCTCAAAGCAGGACCAATCTCCCGACAGATTTTTACC